CTTCATAGATCTTTCATTTATTCTGCTTTCACAGAAGTCTAGTAAAGAAGTCTAGTAAATAAGTGTTAATCCTTAGAAAATTTCCTTATGGTCCACTGGTCTATCTTGAATTCTTGATATATTATTTACAAGGAAAAACTCCCTTCTAGACTTTAGCTGAAGTTCGTGCTCAAGCATGAATTAGGGCCTGCTATATCAAGTCTGTGCTAGGTATGACCAGTTCTGGAGAATATTCTTGACTGACCTTCCTGCTAAAGAGTACTAGGAGCAATGTACAGCACAGTCCTGGCAGTTCCTCAGTCAGATCAGAAAAGCGTAAGGAAATCTCTGACAGTCCTGCTCATTTTGCCTTTCATACAGCAAGGTGTCATAAGAATACATGACATATATCTGTATGTATTATTTTTCTGTGCTGGCAATCACATATCTGAAGATGGTGGTGGTATCTGCTCATAATGCTATAAAATCTTGTTTTGTGTACTTTAGAGTATGTGAAAATTGTCTATGCATCGTTTAAGACTGAATGTATAAGTGGAAATTAAAACAACAGTCCACAGAAAAGAACATTCAGTTGTATTGTCTTCCACAGTAGTTTTCAATTTCTGTCTTGGGTTGACCATTACCTTCCAAACTTGGCTTTATGTCTTTCAGTTCAGTATTGGTCATGCAAGACTATTATATGTGTCATACAATTTGTCAGCCTTTTCTCATTAAATGTAGATGATGTCAGATCTATTGTGTGTGACATTTAGTGGTACAGTGTAACACTGTTCTCTTAAATATTAAGCTAAGATTGATAGAGTAGTCTCAGTAATTTCCACAGACATATTTTAAGGTGATACATTCTCTATACAAGTATATAGCAAAATCTTCGTAAGATTTATTATGTCCATTTTTTTCCTATGAACAAGTGAGTTGATTTCAGTACAGTAAACCAGATTTGTAGAGTGTAAATGAATCATATTTTTAATGAGCATTCTATAAATTCATATAAATTAATTTTTATCCTTTTTTACTTCTCCCTCATTCACTCAAGTCCACATCAACCTTCTATTCCTTTTTAATTATGTGAGTGTAGTTCTTTGTAGAGCTGTACCATGTATTTTAAATGATAAGGATTTTGGAAAAAAAAAGTTGTTGATCTACACCATTAATGTTTAAGCTGTTGGTACTGTTTGTTTCTTTATGAAGCAAATTAATTAAAAGACTTTTCAGTTAAAAGTAAAGACAGTAGCCTTTTTTTGTGGTAAATAAAATAATGGGAGCCCTTTCTCCTGAGCAAGGGAAATTTTTGCAGCACATTGTTTTTGAGTTGGGAACGCTCCAGAGAGAGCAGTTGGCAACCTGTTGTGAATGTGATGAATGAGACCACAAGTGTACATCTGGGTACACATTCAATTGTTTTTGCTTCTTGGGCATTGCTTTTCACAGGCATCATTTCTATCATGATACCAAATGAATCTTACAAGAACTTTTGAGTAGCCCTTAAAGAAAAAACAGACTGTAAAACTATTGGGATTTTTGAGTTAATATTGCCTAATGATGTAGAATAAAACACTGAGTCAGCACTTTGTTTTTCTTTAAATGGCCCACCAATAACAATATTTCTTTATGAAAATAAATGAAAAGATATTTATATTTAATATGTTAGACTGCACATTGTACTTCATATTATTAGTGTGTTTTCAGAATTTATTTGTTATCAGCACATTCCCATGACATTTCCTCTTGCAAAATACTTGACTCTTCTTCCTCCCACCCCCTTTTGTGTTTACAAAGTTCACTTTAATTCTTCTGTGTCTATTCTGATTAAAAAGAAGTAGATTTAAAAAATGTTGTGTCATTACTAAGAAAAGATTGTGAGGCTGGTGTGTAATGCCCGAGTGTCCTGACAGACAGTGGCCTGCATCTGACACAGACCGGTCTGATTTCTAAATCTTCTGGTTTTCAACTACACAAAAGCACCTCAAATTACTATTGTTGAAATATCTGTTTGTTTCCTGCTGAGAGCTGTGAATCCAGAGTTAGATGAATATACCTGTGCCCAGGGTTTGTGCTGAGATCCCGATGAAGGTGCTAGTTGTGGAAAGGAAGGACGCCCCTGCCCAGATCTGCAAGGTGCCCAGTGCCCTGTGGGTGAATTGCCTCAACCCCTTCAGTGACCACTGCCCTCAGCATCCCTCTGTCTGCCCAGCCCCAAACTGAGGGGAGGCAGAGCTGAAGGACAAAGAGTACACTAGGAAAAGAGGAGTAATGGCTCTCTTTTCCTTCTCTTCCTCCCTCCCTCTGCAGCTTCCATCTCAGTCAAAGTTCTCTAGGGACAGACCCTGGCTTTTAATGAGGCCACACTGAGCGGGGGTTGAATGGGAAGAAGGGTGTAATAAGATGAAAGATTAGTACTGCAGTACTCAGGGCTATTGTAGGAGAGCTGGCGTGGATAAATCCTTTCTCGATGTACGTGGTGGCATTGCAAGGAGAGAAGAACCATTGGGGTCACCAGAGATGTCCCTGTTGCAGAACTCTGTACTGGGTGTGCATACTTCACTGTGCTCCAAATAACACAATGAACATTTTCTCCATGTGCACCTCCTGAGCTAGGGAAGGACATCCCATGGCTGGATGTAGGGATGGATGTGGATGTTGGGCAGTGAGCATCAGAGGTGTAGTCAGTTTTGATGCACAGGTGTCTCTTCAATCAAAGTCTCATAAGATCAAGGGGGTGGTTTGTCGTAGTGCTGCTGAAGAGTGTAGGTTCTGTGTTCTTAGTGAAATTTTGACCTTTATAATTCCCCCAAAGGTGAGCCAATGGGGAGGAAAAGATGGAGACAGTTTCCCAGTCTTCAGCTGAGGCACTGTACAGGTGACAGACTAGTACATTTATATTAGTGTGAAATATTGAGGAAAATCTTGATTTACACACTTACAGATTGTATTTTATATGCTTTTTTCCTGTGGCTGACCTGAATTTATTTAAACCCTAAGCAAATGTTTCAACTTTGAAACTAAAAAACTCTTTGGTTCTGCCTTGAAATTCAAAAGATGAATTAAAAGCTTCTCGAACTGGTTTTGTGTTTTGCATTTCTTTTACACTCCCCTTCTTTCCCCCCTCCACCCCTCCATATCCTCATAGTTTAGCCATGTCTGTCTCTCTAGTTGTTTATTTAGTTTTTAGCATTTCATGTTGGGTACTTAGATATTCATGATTGTAACGCTCTATAGATTCCTAATCAGGTATAACCAATCAGTTCATCATCTTATTAATTTACCCGTGTTTTTTTGGTTTTTTTTTTTCATGGGATATTATGAACTGACTAAGAGATTGAGTTAATTCAGTGGATATCAAACTGAAATTCTTGATATCAACATAACTGGCAAAATCTTCTGGTGCTTGTGTTCTCAGGGAACAATATTGAAGGAAAAGACTCAAGGTCTAAGTAGATGGAAGTTTAACTTCCCAGGTGTATTTGGACTAAACCAAGAACTCATAATGGGAAAAAAAGAATTTGTCAGCGAACAATGACTTAGAGATCAAGATATGCAAGTATAACATCATAGTTGCAAACAAATTCGCTATGTAATTTCTTGCAGAAGAAACTGGAACAAACAGCAAAGTGTTCTTCAACTGTAAAAGTTAACAGAGAGAAAGGAGAATTCAAGGGTGACCTCTGCAAGGTCCAGATGGTATAAAGGATAGAAAGTATTTGGGAATGGTCCAAAAACTAAGTAGCAGTTCATGAAAGCAGACAAGGAAATTAAGGCAAGCCAGATACTAGTTCCTTTTAAAGGATCTGTTGCAGTATTTTCTAGAAAATATGCTTATTCCTTAAATATTTTAGAGAAGTTGCAAAGGATAAAGCCGTATTATTGGAGACTGACACAAAAAACACTTAAGAAGATGAAAAAAATAACTAAGAGGTGTAGTTCCATTAGCATACTATCAGCACTATACGTTGGTTGACAGTGAAGAATTTTTCAATCCTATTCTTTTGAGAAAATCTGAGTTTTGTTTCCATGTTTGTTTTTTACCTCTTTCAAAATGATTGAGATTGCCTCAAGTTTATTGTGAGAAACTGTAGCATTTAGCAATCTGTATTCTGAGTTCAGAGCTTTAAAGCACAAAATGTAGCATCCTGTCATTGGTAGTAATTACTGCTAGTTGTATCCGGAAAAAGTAAAAAGAGATACTTAGCTCTCTGCACGATTGTTCTCTGGGATTGTTGCCTGCAGGACTGTGATGCTGAATCTGAGTAACCCTTATGTCCTTGAGAAAGTAATACAAATGGAAAGAAAGTTTTTTCTGGACAGGTTTGTACCACATGCTTACATGAGAATGAAGTCTTAAGAGTTTTCAGAATGTTTTCCTCTTTCTTGCCCTCTTTTAGGGGTTAATTCTTGTATTATGTTTCCATTGACTCTGCTTCAGCCCTTTGACTTCTATTTGAAAACAGTTTTGAGCAAAGACTCTGTCACGCTTGTAACAGAATTCAAAGCTTATAAATCAATCATCTGTTTGGGTCACCTGAGACCTTGTCCTTGTAAAACATAAAGCCAAAGAGCAGTTAAATCTAAACAGTTGGCATTTCTTCTAAAATGTTGAGTTTCAAATATTTTCCCAAATATTTTTCGTAGGTCTTGCAAATACTTGTTCTCCCACCTTAGTGGGAGAAACTCAATTATTTTCTTTCTGCTCCTAGTACGCTAAAGTGAATTTTGTGGATGAAAGCAGAAATTTTCTGTTTTGAGACTGATCTTTCCATGTTTCAGAAAATTCAGTTTGCCATATTCCATTAAAAAATTATTTTTAAAATACATATGACTCTTAAGACTCAGGTTTTATTTCTTTGCTCTTGACCTGCTGCCTGCTTCAGTCTATCTTGTTTAAGGCTACTGATTACATTGCAGTGTAAGAGGAACATTTTATCACTGTAGCTTCAATCCAGATAATGGACTCACCTGGTCTTAAAATCTCATTTTAAGCAGAATGTTCTTTTTCCTTTCAGCCCAGTCATTGAAGGAGTTTGCTCGGCTCCTGATTGCTGTTGAAGAGGAGAGAAGACGACTGGTGAGTTTGTTGGCAGTAATCTTCATTGGACCTCTCCTTGTGTAAAATAGTACACTTTTTTCTATTCCCTCTGAAGTGATTTTTAAAAAAAAATGTATTTGTGTAGTAGAGGTTAAGTATGTCATAAGAATTATTTGGAATTCTTATGCAAAGGCAGAAATGTACTAGCACAAACTACAGCAATTTTTAATGAACTATTCAACCAAAGACTTTTGAATCAATATAAAATTTGTTTTCTCTCAATTTGCTACCTCCCTGCTCCTTGACCCAAAATAAACTTTGAATGCTTGTGTACCTTTCCTTTCCTGCAAAAAGCTTATATTGGAGACATAGATTTGTATTTTTATTTAATTAAATACTCTTGAGTATTGTCTAGAGAATGTATGCTAGTATTCCAAGAATATGATAAGTAAGTGATAAGAAGAGAAAACTAATTCATCACCTGAGAAAAACTCTTGTAGAATACATTATGGATCAGACTTGCCAGAGTGATCCATTGATATGGTATCCTTATGCCATTAGAATCTACTGCTTGTTTTGATTTTTATATTTCTATTCAAATACAGCTTTTTAAAAGAGGTTTTAAGTGTACTTTTATGCAACTATTAAAAAAAAAATCCAGGTAAGCAGTGAAGCTATTTTTGTCCTTCCTTGGGAGTCAGTCATAATTAAAGGAGCAAGCTAAGAATTAACATCAGTAGGGGGATTTTTAAATATCGTGAAAGTTTAACTAGCTCTAATCCATCCAAAGATTATGTCTGTCCTGGTTTTCCTTCCTCTTATGGGTACTTAGTACACTGAGGTAAGGCTTTTATGACTCAGACTGGAACAAATTTACTAATTCAGAAAGAAGTTTATATAAAGTTGTCTTATCCTAGAAGTAAATAGCCGTAGAATAGCTCTCCCACTATTTCTTTTTAAATAAATATTTTAAAATGGCAAAGTCATAGCATTTATTTAGTACAGTTGCATAGCTAGTATCACTTAAATGTATAAATGTTTTTTTTTTGCTTCATGTGAAGTACTTTTTCCTGGGTAGCTGGAAGAGTGAGGTGACTGTTCTATACTTACCACCTTAAAAGTTGGTTAGCAGAATACTTATTAATTCCTTAGTTAAACAATGTTTAAATGAATAGCTTTCCAGTTAAAGATTGTTATGAGCTAACTATTAGGGAAAAAAAAAAGCAATGAATAGGTGAGGGTTTTATTTTTCAAACTCTTTAGTCTTTCATAATATGTTCAAATAATTTTCTATTATTTTCTCTCATTTTTTTCTCCCTCTTTTTTTCCCCCCCCTCAGAGGAGTCTACCATTTTCACTTTTGGAAGTTTATGGCCTCTCTTTGGTTTATAATTTGATCTTGCCATGTAATGTTTTTTCTAAAAGATGTAGGAAGGCCTTTAGCATAAAATAAGGAAAAATTGATATTGATATATTTTGGTCTGTATCAATATGATTTCCATGGGAATGCATGGCTTGTACAGCTGAGTGTGGCAGGTTGACCCTGGCTGGATTAGCAGTGCCCACCAAAGCTGCTCTGTCATTGCCCTCCCCATCTGGGCAGGGGAGAAAAAATGCGAGAGAAGGCTCATGGGCTGAGATGAGGGCAGGGAGAGGTCACTTGGCAATCACTGTCATGAGCAGAACAGACTCAACTTGGGGAAATCTGTTTAATTTAATGACAGTCAAATCTGAGCAGGGTAATAAGAAATGAAACCCAAATTTTAAAGAAATTTCCCCTGCCCCTCCCTTCTTTTGAGGCTTTACTTTAATCCCAGTTCTCTATCTCTGCCCTGCCAGTGGCACGGAGAGCAGGGAATGAGGGCTGCACCGCCTTCCTCCTCATGGGGAGCATTCCTCACTCTTGCCTTGCTCCAGTACTGCTCCCTCCCTCAGGGGACAGTCTCCACGAACTTCTCCAACAGGAGTCCTTCCCATAGGCTGCAGTTCTTCATAACCTGCTCCACTGTGGATCTTTTCCACAGGATTGAGTCCTTCAGGAGCAGTGCTCCAGCATGGGTTCCTGTAGGGTCTTCATGTAGGGAGAAGCTGCTCTTGGTGGGAAGTCATTTGTAACCAGCTTTTCACTCAGTTTGGATTAACCTCATTCAGTTATCATTCTCTGTTCAGAAAGAGAACATGAGAACATTCAGGACACACAGTTTTCATGTCATGCATAAGAAAATTTATCAAAAACAATTTCTCTAGGTTTAAAAAGTTTGAGCTGCCTCTTGGTGGAATTTGTTGAATTATTACTGGAGTAAAAGTATCACCTTTATCAAAGATCTGGGTTTTTTATTCCCCAGTCTCTTATTGCAGTTTTCTACATGTCATCATAGATTCCAGAGGTCCTTGTGAGGATCAGCGTCCCAGACAGATTGCCAGTCTAAGGTTTTTGCTTGACAAACCTGTAACTTAACTGTGGAATCTTCAGAGCACTTTTGCTTTTTTCTGAGCATTATCCATAGGCTTAACTTTCTCTGCTGGAAGCACTTAAGTCAGCCAATTCGCAGCTTAGTGACGATATTAAACAAAGTTCTCAGCTGATAGGAAAGCTTGAGACATGGCATGCAGGTCTTTAAGAATTTGATTTCCTTCTGCATAAAAAGAGAAAGCATACAAAAGTTTTTAAAAAAAGCTTGTTCTTTTTGACGTTTTTTAGAAGACTGGAGAAAAACAGGCAATGTTGTGGCTATTTATGTATATACTTCATCATACTACTTTCAACTTTCTTTTAATTCTTGTAGCTTGTGATAGTAAAAGACACTATTGTATCAGTGAATGCAGGATATACGAGATTATGGAATGACAAATATTAATTTTGCATGACAGCTAATGGTCTTGTTTCCCTGCCTTGAACTTTATTTTATTAAATTATGAGTATACATATAAGTGCATTAATCAGATTTTAATATGAAAAATATCTATTCATATAACCAGTTTATTTCTTTTTTGATGCCTGTTAAATTCTTCATAAGTCAAATTATATTTTTATCTTGGTGAACACAATGTTGGAGTGCTTGTCCAATGAATGTGTAAATGAAGTGTTTCCAATAGTCAAGGAAATAGTTTGAGAGGTGCTTAGCAAGTTTTCTGTCGTTCTTGCATAAAGAACCAGAAGGAACTATTTTTTTTTAATTTAGAAGAAGTTAATGAAACAAGACATGATGGACAGTATTACTGGGAAAAATACTGAAGTATAAAGTTAAATGAAACTCTGTATCACATAAATATTCTGTTTTGTAAGGCTTTGTAGCCATCATTACTGGCAGCAGTAATAATATGGTGATTATTGCAAGTCAGTTTCTTTTATACTTGTATTTTATTTCTTGATGTTAGAAAATTGACTAGTAGTCAGAAAAAACAGAGGCCATGCACTATATATTTCCTCTTAAAAAGAAAATAAAGGAAAAAGTAACTCATAAGATACCTTCTTTTATTCTATACAGCCTTAGGTTTGATAACTCTCATTTTGTAGTGGTATTAATTTACTGATGCTGTTGGTAAATGGTGTATTAAAAAAACCCCAACCAAGCAGCACTACTCTTGGTAGCAAATACTTGATTGTAAATACTGTAGTATTTACAGATAAAAAGTCAGATTCATCCCCACTGCATTTCCAATGACTTCAGCTGCAAGCCATCAGGGATGTAGAATACTGACCTCTATTTCCTAGTGTTTATTAGGGAACAATAGAGATGCTATAATTTAATCCCATGTGAATATTTGTATCTTTATCAAGGGAACTTACTTAAAATAACTTCCTTCCTCTTCCACTGAATTTGCATTCTTTCTATTAAATAAGTGATATATTTTATTTTAGAGATTCATATTTTATTTATGCTTGCTATTAATTTGACATTGTTAGTAAAATTAACAGCAAACAGAAATTATCTGGGAGTAAAATATAATGCTTCTTCCTTTTCCTTTCATAGGATTATTCTGTGTTGATGTAAGTGTAGATGAACTGGTTCATGCTACTGGTCCTAGACATCCCCTATGAGTTTGAAGCATTGAATGAGTTCTCTTGAGCGTTAATGTTATCTTGCTGGAACTCCCAGATTATTTCTGAGCGTTTGTTAAATCCAAGACTGAAATAGACTCTTAATTCTTACATTCCTTGCTGTTTATCCAAGTTTTTTTTTTTTTTGGTTGTTGGCAGGTGATGAATGGTCCCAGAGCTTTTTCTGTCTGGCATCGTGAATCAGTGAGATTGTTGACCAATATTAAATACTCCAGGGGATAGTATAAAAATTCCGAAGTGGATCGTTTTGTACTATGCTCGATGAATATTTTTCTTTAGAAAGTCTGCCTTTTTGTATCTAGTAATCTTCATGGTTCAGACAGTATCTCATTTTTGTGGACTTTTTTTGTATTAACTGGATGTTCTCATTGTGGTTCTGTATTTGCCCTCACACAAGGGGTCTGATGCTATCTGCTTCCAGGGAAAGCATCAAAATATTCCGTTTCAAAAGCTGCACTTGAAGAAAAATAAATGAGCTGTTAAAACCAGCTATCCATGGAATGGTACATAAAATCAGATACTGAAGGGCACAGCATGTTGTTGAGCAAATTAACCTTTTCCCTATAATGCAAAGTGCATTACAGATTCCATCAGAAGAGTAAGCAGTCTCCTATCCACAGGGGCAGCTTATTTCTCAGTTTATACAAGGGAAAAATAACATTGCATATACTAACACCCTGAGACTGCAGAACAAACACCTGACATTTTGTTTTGCGTGGCGTCTCTCTCAAATTGCAAAAAATAGTGTTTGATGGTGTATTGATATACTTGGTAACTGATTTCAGTGTTTTTCACCTCTCATGAAAGATTTGGCATTTAAATTAATCTCCTTTGTAGGAGTCTGCCAGGAAGAACACTGAAAGCATATAAGCATAAGACAAGGAAAACACCATAAATAAAAGGACTTCTTTGAAGTTATGACTAGTTGTTTCTCTATTTTTGTTGTTCCTCCTACTCCCTCTCTCCCCACAATGTT